AAGAATGATTAGGATAAAAATTTTCCCATCACACCGATGAACTCAAAAGAAGTTTAAGAAACTTTATTTGCAGAGAGTTCAGCAACTCGTGGTATGTAGTTTAAAAAAATCAGAACAGACTGAACCTGGGAAATATTGCAGCCCCAATCCCTTCATTGGCCCAGCTCTGTAATGGCTGTACTTAGATGCTCCCTGTGTTAGTTTCCAAGTGCTGTTCTAACAAAGTCCCCCAGGCTGACTCAATACAATAGAACTTTATTATCTTATGGTTCTGGGTGTCACAAGCCTAAAGTCAGGGTGTCAGCAGGGCCATGATCTCTCAGGGATCGAGGGGAGGATCTCTTCCATCCCTTTCCCCTAGCTTTGGTGGTTACTGGCAGTCAGTCCTTGGTGTTCCTTGCCATCTAGATGCGTCACTCTAATCTCTGCCTCCATCATCTTGGGCTGCTCTTCTCTGTGTGTGTCTGTCTCTGTGTCTTCTCTCCTCTTATAAAGACACCAGTCCTATTGGGTTAAGGGCTCATCCTACTCCACGATGACCTCATTTTAACTTACATTGCATTAAATCTGCAAAGACCCTATTTCCAAATCAGGTCACGTTCACTTGTACGAGGTGATAAAACTTCAACTTGTCTTCCTGGAGGACAGAATTCAACCTTAAACACAACCTCATGAACATTTTCTTTATCCTTGTTTAAAGAACAGAAATAACATGGGAGAGTGAAAGAGCTTGAATCCTGAGGCAGAATTTGTGGCCTCATCTGTAAAATGGGACTCAGAATCAGGAAAATAATATTCAGGAGACATGTGAAGATGCTTTTCAAAAGAAAAAGCTCTATAAAATTTAAATTATGAAATATAAGCATAGTTAAGTGAATCAATTAAAAATGTGTATATTATCATGTTATTAGGCAGTCTGGGTTGAATTAAGAAGGTCGCTCAAGGCCACATTCATGGTCTCTGCAGAGGCAGTGAAGTCTTAGTCTGCAGGGCAAGTTTTAACCACAAACCACTCAAGTTCAGGGTATAGCCTAATCACTCTTAGAGAAGAACTGTGGTTTGGAGAGATGTTGTCCCTTTAATTTCTAGGAAGCAATAAACATAGCTCGTTCTCATTTTGCCAGTTTGTCACAAAGAGCGGTAGCTCCTCTGGATAAATCACCTACCTCCTTATTTTCTCCATGGAAAGAACACATCAGACATGCCACTTCAAGCACCGAGTAGACTCAGCACCAGGCATGAAATTGTGTGGCATTGTAGAAAATTGAGAGAACTCGTGCCTCCAGTTGGGTGAGACACTGGGCCTCAGTGTCCTTTTCTGTAAAATGAGAAAAGAGACCAATACCAGAGATTTGCTGTGAGTGTTCACTGAAGTAAGAGGTAAGCATCATGACAAATGGTTGGTGGTCAATACGTTAATAAGGCATACGGACAGAAGATTGGCATTTTAAGTCTTTGCAATTCAAAGCCAGCATTAGGATAAGACTGTATTAGCAGAGTTGAAGGGACAAAAGATGCCCTGTAGAATGCTAACATGGCTACTCAAGAAGATCAGTAGTTCTCAGGTTGGACAGAAACAAGTTTTGCCAAGACAGATGAAGTCTCTCTTCAAAGCCCGTGTCCTCATGTGCGCAGGATTGAAGGAAGGCCACGGCCCCAGCAGACAGCCTGAGCTGGATGGCCGGAGTCCAGTTGGCACGTGTCTGCCCAGGTGAATACTTGCCCAGAGGACTGTTAATAAACAGCAGCAGGCACCAGCCACGGCCAAAGGCCAGCTTCTACAGAAATAGGGCGGGCGGGTAGAAAGCGCTGTTCCATTCCCCCGCTCCTCCCGGGACCCAGAGCTTAATTTTCATTTGCAGAGGGTTTGCATTTGGCATACTGACCTTCCTTTAGTGGGGAATACCAATAAAGCTGGGGCCAGCTGGGGCCTTGAGTCTTCCTCTATGGAGAATTTAAAATTACTCCAGGGGTTGTGGTGGGTATCCATAGGGCAAGGAAAAGTCTGTTTATTCATTTCCCCTCCTTTTCTCCCTCTCCTGACTTCTTCAGAACTTTGGTTCTCTTTGTCACTTTGTCAGGTTGCCAATTGACCTTCCCTTCTCCTCCCACTTAGAGATGGGGTTCCTAGGTTCAGGCAGTGAGGTTGAGGGAGAATGGGTCAGAGGCACAGATTTTTAGTGGAAGTGGGAACTGATGATTCTGTTCAAGGAGATGATGTCTCATTTATTAGCATTTGCGTGTGCATTTGTCTGTGTTTGGGGGATGTGTGTGTGTTGGGGTTGGTGATGAGAGTGTTTTCAGGCCTGTTATTAGAAGGAATCAAGATGAGAGACTTTCACCCAGGGACAAAAATAGAGGGATATCTGGACTATGAATTACCATCAAGCCAGCCTCTCTCCTCAGCCTTCTCCCATCCCACGCTTCCATGTGGGTAAAACTAGAGTGTATTAATTGCAGGGTAATTAAAATGCCGTGGGTGAAAGGGTGAGATTAAAGGTTGGAAAGTTGAATTAGCAGGTGCCTGTTTTAAAATGCAGGTGAGCTGTCAGCCCTGAAGCAATCAAGAAAAGAAAACTAACCTACTGCCAACCAGTGATGCATGTCAATTCTCACCCCCTCATTCTAGCCTAACATTTGGTTGCAAACCTAGCCTAATTTATAGCCTAATTTATAGGATACAGGATGGCAAAGGGGACTGTTTTGGTTTTTTTTGTTTTCAATCTTGAATATACAACTTTGGATTTGGTAGCCCAAGCCTGAAAAGTGACTAGTTGTCAGTGAGAAGTAAAGCAAATGTGCCCAGAGTTGATTCAGATCTTAAAATGATTAGGGGTGAGTGTTTGCTTGCGGAACAATTCATGACTTGGGAAGCTCAGAATATGTCTGCCTGACTTGCTGGGTGAATCTCTCCTTACAACCATTGTAAAAATTAAAAATCATGTTTTGATTTTTCAGGTTTTCATTTAACATCACAACACTTTATTCTAAATCAGCTATGAGAAAGGTGCTTGGAAAGGCACCCAAGGAAAGAAGGGCTGCAGGAATACAAGAATAATGTGAGAGGCGAGACAGACGGGCAGCATCAGAAGGGGAGGGGCATGAGCAAGATGGTCCTACATTTCAGGGGGCGGTGAGAATGCTGTTGACTGGAGATCAGGGAAGGCTTCTTAAGAAAGGGAATTTAGGGGTTAGGTGTCAAAGAGGAGAAGGGGAGATGGAAGGGAGGCCGCTGGCTTTGGATGAGGAATAAAGGTATAAAAAGAACATGCACGGACTCTGTTGAAACAGTCCTGTAGTCGTTTTGGACAAAACACAGGCCAAGACAGATTTCCTGTGTCAGTGTTTCTCAGCCCCTGTTGTGCATTATAGAAACCCTAGGGAGCTTCTAAAAACCCCAGTGTCCCAAAGGCCACACTGTAGATTGACTGAATCTGAAAACCAAGGCATGGGGTCCAGGTGTTGCATTGTTTAATGGTCCTCAGGTGATTCCGGTGTTCCGGCAAGGTGAGAGACAGCCTGGCTCTAGTCAGGCGTCCCCAAACTACGGCCCTGAGGGCTGCACGCGGCCCCCTGAGGCCATTTATCCGGCCCCCCCGCCGCACTTCAGGAAGGGGCACCTCTTTCATTGGTGGTCAGTGAGAGAAGCACAGTATGTGGCGGCCCTCCAACGGTCTGAGGGACAGTGAACTGGCCCCCCGTGTAAAAAGTTTGGGGACGCCTGCTCTAGCTGATCATTACAAAGGAGTTATTATTTATTTATTTATTTTTTGAGTCATTACAAATGAGTTATTATTTGTTTATTTATTTTTTGAGACAGAGTCTTGCTGTGTCACCCAGGCTGGAGTGCAGTGGCACAATCTTGGTTCGCTGCAACCTCCTCCTCCCAGGTTCAAGCGATTCTCCTGCCTCAGCCTCCTGAGCAGTTGGGACTACAGGTGTGTGCCACCATGCCTGTTTTTTTGGGGGAACCATCATTCTCAGCAAACTGACACAAGAGCAGAAAATCAAACACTGCATGTTCTCACTTATAGGCGGGTGTTGAACAATGAGAACACATGGACACAGGGAGGGGAGCATCATACACTGAGGTCTGTTGGTGGGGATTAGGGGAGGGACAGTGGGGGGTAGGGAGTTGGGGAGAGATAACATGGGGAGAAATGCCAGATATAGGTGATGGGGATGGAGGCAGCAAACCACACTGCCATGTATGTACCTATGCAACAATCCTGCATGTTCTTTACATGTACCCCAGAACCTAAAATGCAGTAATATATATATATAAGCAACAGAAAGCAATGCCATTTACAACCAAATTATACTGCAATTATCCATAAGCGCATAAACATATTGGTTAAAAAAAATTTTAGTAGAGACGAGTTTTACTGTTTTAGCCAGGGTGGTCTCTATCTCCTGACCTTGTGATCCATCTGCCTCAGCCTCCCAAAGCTCTGGGATTACAGGTGTAATCCATCTTGCCCGGCTGGCTACAAATGAGTTCTTGATCCTATTCTCAATTACTATAGCCTGCAGAGAAAAGGTACATTTAAAAAAAAAAAACAGCCCATTGATCTATTTTGACTAAGTGATCTAGAGAAGCATTACTAAATAGCTTCCCTAGTCACCTCAGAAATGAACATGGGGATAGCAGTAGAGAAAGATGGGACCAGAAAAAGAGAGTGTGGCTAAGTCATGGACAATCTTAATGCCAGGGCAAGAGTTTTTATTCATTAGGAAATTCTGTTCATTAGGAAATAGGCAACAGGCAACCTGGTAATTTTCAGTTGTGGAATGATCAGAAGTCACAGCTGTGGGTAGGGGTATCTCTATGTTTGGTATTAGGAGGATGGAAATGATGAAGGGAGAGAGGCTAGTTAGGCCGTGATTGCCTTGAGGATGGGAAACAGGTGAACGTGAAATTCTGGAACAACAGAACGAACAGAATGTAGCGTGGCTAAGCTTCTTCCGCGTTCCTGTGGCCAAGTGAGAAACGTGAAGATTAGAAGTGTGGTACATGACTTCTAAAGAAGCCAGAGTGAGTTGGGGCAAATGTCACTTTAGCCTCTGTTGGAGATATTTCACAAGTGTCAGGGGCAAAGACGTGGGGATGAGAGGATACAGATTCCGAATAGAGACCAGATGGATTGGTCTTCTGACGGGTTTCCGTTTTTGGGATGTGTGGTTGTATTTGATTTCAGATTTACTGAGGGAGAGGGGGAAAGAGTTACAGTTTGGGGTCACCCACATCCCTCCGTCCCTAACCATAAGACTACCTTCATAAATCCCCTTTTCTGGTACAAAAGGGAAGAAATAGTTACATGGTGTAGTATGGTATAAAAATCATGAAAGGCATTTTCAGAAAGAGGACATGGTCAGAGTATTAGAGGCTACAAAGAGGTCACAGTGGGTGAAGATCCTGAAGAGTTCTGAATGACAGCAAATTTTTGCGTGAGTGTGCAGAGAAAAGTTAACATGGCCAGCCTGAGACAGCTTTTTAAGAAAGTCCTGTTTGTAAGGCTAACGCCAGACTGGCGTCTGAGATCTTAAATTTCAGGAAGATTTCCACAGTTGCCTAACTGATGAGTGGCTCGCGGTGCCTGAACTACGCAATTGACTTATGCCAAACACCCGCTTTTCTTCTTGTAGTGTGATATTTTGGTAAGTGATGGGCAGAGAGTGCCTAAGTGACCAGCCTCCAGCAAAAGCCTTGGGCACTGAGTCTGTAATAAACTTTCTTCCTAGACAGCATTTCACAGGTGTTGTCGTAACTCATTGCTGAAGGAATTTAGTGCATTCTGTGAGACTCCATTGGGAACAGACCCTTGGAAGCTTGTGCCTGGTTTCCTCTGGGCCTCACCCAATGCTCCTTTGTTAATTTTGCCTTACCTCCTTTTGCTCTAATAAATCATAGCTGTGACTATATACCGAGTCCCATGAACCCCAGCAAATCACTGAACACGAGAGTGATGTTGGGATCCCTTGACACAAGAATGAGGAAAATTTCAGAGCATCAGTTTGGTCAGAAAGATGAGGAGATTTTGAATGCATAAATTTTTAATAGCTCAGGTAAGTGAACCTGTGTGCTTCTGAAAGTAATACGGGAGAAAAATTTGGCTTTACATTTTTTTTTTTCCTTTTTTAACGCAGTCTCACTCTGTTGCCCGGGCTGCAGTGCAGTGGCGTGATCTCGGCTCACCGCAACCTCTGCCTCCCACGTTCAAGCAATTCTCTTGCCTCAGCCTCCTGAGTAGCTGAGATTACAGGCTCCTGCCACCATACCTTACTAATTTTTGTATTTTTAGTAGAGATGGGGTTTCACCATATTGGCCAGGCTGGTGTGAAACTCCTGACCTCAGGTGATCCACCTGCCTCAGCCTCTCAGAGTGCTGGGATTATAGATGTGAGCCACCACACCCAGCCTGGATTTATATGGTTTATCTAAGCTTTCTGATTACGATTAAAGCTGAAAGCTGGTGTTTTCGCCTTTCTTTAAAGAAGTAAAAGGTAAATGCTGTGAAAAGAGCATGTTATGAGAACAAACTTTGAGAGGAACAATTACTGAGTCTTTATAGCTGTATAGTGAAATGAAAACGTTTTTAAGCTTCGGATTTTGTTTCCTGCTGCCTCATGTTGACCAGTGAGCACCTTGCCCAGGTATCTGGGTGCACTAACGTGATAAGGTTGGCCCCTATGACAAGTTTCCCTTCACTGCCGTTCCTCAACCATGACTACTAAGTAACATTCAAATGCACCAATGAAATCCCTTTTCTTGTGTACTCCACCCTGACCGCGATTGAAGGCACCTGACCACAGGTCCTCGCTGGCTGTCGGCTCCCCTTACTGCTTGGCTGAGGCCGATTCCTTGGCACTCCTCCCATATGGCCCCTCTCAGCCTGCAGCAACTGTCTGTCTCTCCAGGACCTGCAAGCATCACACATTGCGTTTCCTGGAGCCTCTCCTGTGTCTCCTCCTGTAGCTGCACTTGACTGATCTTCGCCTAAAGAAACACAGAACAACAGTACCACTAAGTGACATGTATTTTCCCATGTTGAATTTCAACATAATAAAAAAAAGCCCCTGATAAATCGAGGCAAGTAGTGAGAAAGCTAATGAGGTAAATGTGCATGTTTTACCTGCATTAGTCAACCTGGGCTGCTATAGACTGGGTACTTTCAACAATAGAATTTGCTTTATCACAGTTCTGGAGGCTGGAAGCCCAAGATCAAAGTGTCAGGAAGGTCCCGTGCTAGTGGGCACTCTCTTCCTGGCTTGCAGTTGGCCACCTTCTTGCTATGTCCTCACGTAGCCTTTCCTCTGTGTGTGTGACAAGAGAGAAACCCTTATTGTACAGAATTAGACTTAATTTACTGAAAATAATGGATCTCCCACCTTCACCTGAATTTGAGTTTTTTTTTTTTTTTTCCTCCCAGCAGTCCTGCCTTTTCCCTTCCCTTAGGGAATACACTGTCACCAAAACACAGCAGTGAAATCAACTTCATCACTCTTAGTATCTCTTCTTCTTTTCTTCTGCAGTCATATAATACCTGCTTTTTAACAATGGACTTCCAGACTAAAGGTTATATTTTCTAGCATAGTAGCTGTTATTTCTCAGTGTATGGTATGATTGAAGGCAGAAAAATTCTACTTGGTTCTTAGGAATATGAAGGGATGCCTTATTAGCGGAATAAAAATATTAACACTTGATAATTCCCAGAAACATGAGGGACTCATGTTTGACTGCATTTTGAATCCCTGCGGCTCTCACGTCGCTTTCGTTCGTTCTATTGTTGTTTCCTTCGTTCACTGAGTTAGCATTTATCGAATATGCTTTGGGCTCTGTGTTTACAATGACAGATATACGGTGCTGCTTGATGGGGACTGACTCGGTGGATGACGTCAGTCATACAAACTGTTCATTATAACGAATAGTATAAGCAGTGATGCTTTATGCAGGTTACTGTGGGAACACAGGGGCACTTTCATTCTTGTTAACTTTGTCACTAGTAAGTCATTTTAAGTTCTCAAGACTTAGGACAGTATTTCTACTTTTGTTTCATCCACACAGCGTGGAACAGTTCTGGGAACACAGTCAGTACTGATAAAACTCTTACTGATGAATTTACCTGTACCTGTGTTTCAGCCTTGTGATCTGGTGAGTATTCGGCTAATTCTCATGTCTTCTTTTCCTCCCTTTGTTAGGCAAAAATTACACAAATGTACAGGTGAGTTTTACAGTGTGGTTTGATGGCAGCAAGTTTGAGAGGGATAAAATACTATTGTGATTACCTGCCAAAATGTCCCGTTGCAACCATTAAAACCAGAGCCTGACACGCAAGGCCTCTTAGACATCTGGAACGAATTCCTTTTGTTCTGTGTGTGTGCATGTTTTCTAAGCAAGGGAAGTTCCAGATATTTAAGGAGTGAGAAACTTTTAATCTTATCAGGAAAATTTATTCGCAATTAAGAGGTACTTTGACCTAGCTGTGGGTCACAGGAAAAGTTTACAAATGGCCAGTGAATCTGCATCTTGACTCCTCAGAGTTCTGCAGTCATAATGAATTGTGTTATTCCTTAGCTCTTGACAGAAGTCACCCTCTAAAGTTAGATCGGGGCAAAAAGTCTTAACTGGTCAATAGATCCCAGGTGATTTTTGGTTCACATATGGAGAGCAGTTTTGTTATGTCAAATCCCAGCAGATTACCCTTGAGTCTAACTCCGAAAAAAATGTTGATATTCAACTGGTAGCAAGTAAAAGCAATTCTAATTTTATGTTGTATAAACTGAAGCTCCTTCTTTTGACAAAAACAAAATGATTTAAAATTTCTTCTTATTAATATCTCTATAAATTTATAAACCTTCTACGGGCTCCAATATATAGAGTTATATGAACATGTACATTTTTACACCTGCGGAAGCCACCTATCTCCCCAAATAAATTTATATGTAACTATTTACTTACTTGTGCCCAAACGCTTATATTCATGAATGGAAGTGGACCCTCGTTGATGGTATTGAATTGGAAAATTTTATGTGAGAGCTTTGAGTCTTTGCTGTTGAGATAGGAATCTAGTTAAATTTTAAAGGTGACTTGGTTAAAAGAAAGAAAACATAGTTCACCTTTTCACTTGGGACAGAACAGAGTATTTAACAATAGGTTTCCTCTTGGAACTGGTGTTCCATGGGAGGAATGGCTGACAGTAAATGGAAATGGTGGCTAGAAGAATGTTGTAAGTTACTCCCCGGCACAAGTCATTTGGAATCTGTCATTTCCGGGGCAGATACAATTTCACTGATCCTTTTGTCTCATTCTTTATATCCTTCAGATTTGGCACTGGTTCCTATATTTCTTTGTGTTGACCCTGGTGAGATGGGCTTGGGCTGCATTATTGTTTCTCGTTTTTCTCTTCTTTTTTCAATGACTCACATTTTCACTAGATTAAGAATAATACCAACCCTTTTTTTTTGGCATAAAGCATAGCACTGTGACAGGCACTATCTCATTGTAGCTGAGCTTCACGATACACTTGCAAGGAGAGTAAAGGCCACAGCAATATCTCCGTTTGGCATATGAGGAAACTAAGTCTTAGCCTAAGTGAATTTCTAAACTCTCACCACCAAGACCGAAAAGAGCTCCAGCTTGATTCTCAGTCTCAGATTTCAGATGCTTTTTCCAACATAATTTGTTGGAAAGTATGCTGCCATTGCTTTTGCTGGACAACTGGCATTCAAACATGTGGTGTGGATAGTTGGTATGTGTGGGACATTCAAGTGAACTTACCTAAAGGCAACAGAATAATCACTTGGAAGGACTGACCCAAATAGACATAGCTCTCTGCCTGTGTGAGCAGCAGGTTAGAATGTGGGCAGGGAGCCCAGAATGTGTCTCCTCCTGGGCAGACAGTCAGGAATCTCTCTGGAGACTGGCCAGGAGGCCAGAAGGTCTCCCAGAGCCTCAAGAGGGCTGCCAGGAGGGATCTATAATGATTCCATTTTAGGTTTAAAGGACACTATAGTCACAGCAGGCATAGCTCGTACTATACATAACGCTGACACAAATGCACATATATCGGCTTCTAATGTAGATAGATGGTATCTTGCTGTGAAGGGGGAATGAACAGGCAGTTTTCTAGTTTTAACTTTCAGTCAAACCAATCAACATAAACCACTCAGCAGCGTATGTGGTTGACAGATACTTCCAGATCTTTGCTGATTGCACTAGCCGGATAATTAATTTGGGCATAAGTCATGGTTGGACTGCTCTGCCGCTGCATGTTCAGATTTTTCCCATGACTGATTATGGCAGAGGCTGCTAATTTTCTACCCGCCATCCACTCTGTTCTCCTTTTGTAATGGGACTCTGTTTTTTTAGAGGACAGCCAGAGTACATACGATTAAAAGACCATTCTCTGCATTTCTACTTTGCAGCCAGGAGTGGCTGTGTGGATATATTTTAGTCAGTAAAAGGTTTGCAAAAATATGTGATACTTTTGGGCGATTTCCTTAAAGAGAAGTGGATTGACCGTTCCTTCTTGCTGCCTGGAATGTGGGTGTGAGGGCTTGTGCTCTAGAAGGTATCTCGTCAGAGGGTGACCAAGGTTTTATTGTAGGAATCTAAGAGTAGAGGACAGGCAGGAGCGTGAGTCATCCAAAACTCTGTGAAACTGTTGTGACAGTCTTGGCCTGGTGACCTCCAGACTTATTTTGTGTGTAGGGAAATAGGCTTCTATCTTGCTTAATACACCAGTATTTGGATGTTTGTGATGTTGCAGTGGGGACCTTGCACCAAGTGATGTGTAGATGGGCACATGGTGCTAGAAGAGATCTAAAATGCACTAAAATAGAGGTGAAAAAGATTTTAAAATATAAAGGAAGAAGAAATAATTTGAGGTCTAGTGACAAAAGAAAAGAAGCAAGTCAGGTAGCTGGGTGATATTTAACTCTGCTGTTTTCCAGTTCTTTCTGCTGCTGCCCTTTGCCCTACTGTTTAAGCCCCACTGCCCTGATGGCAGGAATGATGCAGAGAGCAAAGGGTCAAATTCCTGGCTGCCAAAGGTCTGTACAGGCTCTTGATGGTCTATAGCAAAGATCATAATGTTTTTAACTTACGTGACTTTATTATGGAGAATTTACAACTCACTCAAGAGTCGGAGTTATATAGCAAACCTCCATATTCACCATCTAGTTTCAACAACCATTGGTCCCTGGTGTATCCTGTCCCATCCACATCTGTGTCCACTTCTCCCTTCTCATTGCTTTTAAAATACATTTTATGTTTTGGCATAATTTTAGATTTATGAAAAAGTTGCAAAGATAGCACAATTTTCACATACTCTTTACCTGTTTCTCCCTATCGTACAACACTATGGTACATTTGTCAGAATGAATACATTAGTATTACTATAAAACTATTAATGAAATCTAGACTTTTTCCTGTTTCACCAGTTTTACCACTAAAATCCTTTCTCTTCTCTGGAATCCAATCCAAGATATTACATTGCATTTAGCCCCTTATTATTTTGAAGCATCTCCCAGATATCAAGTAGTTTTACCTTTAAATATAGTCTACCCTTTGTATCTATCAGTTTCACATCTGTAGATTCAACCAACCACAGATTGAATTTTGTGGCTAAAGGTGTTGTATCTATACTGAATGTGTGCACATCTTTTTCTTGTCATTCTCTAAACAATACAACTATTTGCGTAGCATTTACATCGTATTAGATATAAATAGATGACTCAATGTATACAGGAGGATGTGTGTAGGTTATATGCAAATACTATACTATTTTACATCAGGAACTTGAGCATTTGTAGATTTTGGTATCTGTGGGCGTCTTGGAACGAACTCTCCGTGGACACTAAGGGACAACTGTATTTTAGTATCCATCTCTAAAAGATGAGGACTCTTTCTCTTTAATGCAAATACAAAGTCATCGTCACACCCCCAACAAAGCAACAATTCCTTAATTTCGTCAACATCAAATCAAACATTTTCTTGTAAATAGCATGTCCTTTTTACATGTTTGTTTCTAATTCTGGATCCAAACATGACCTGAACAATAAAGTTAGCAAGTATGTCTTTTAAATATCTTTTATTCTTTAGGTTTCCCCTCCATTTCTGTCTTTTTCTTTGCAGTTTATTTGTTGAAGAAACAAGTTCAGTTGTCCTGTAGTTTTCTCATCCAGGTTTTTCTGATCATATCCTTGAGGAGTAGGTATATGTGTTACACTATGCTTTGTATTTTCATAACTTGACTGTAGAGATTGATTGGATTCATTCATTTACTCATTCAGTGAGTTTTGGTCATAATATATTATAGGAAACGGCGGGTTTTTCCACCAATGGGCACATACCATACTATCTGGTTTTCTCTCTTTTTGGTGTTTGTGGCTGTTAATATCTTTTATTGTAGAGGTTGAAAACCGGTGATATTGTAATTCTAACGTTTCTTCTTCATTTATAAGCTGGGATTTTAAAAATAAATATCATGTTTTCTCCATCTACTTACCATTTGGTTATTGTGGTGTACATTATAGAAGAAGGCAAGATTCTTTATATACCTTATTTGTCACTTCCAAAAATAATGAGTTGATCTACTGTTAGCATCCTCCAACGTTGCCAGATAATTGAGAGTTCATAGTCTGGAAAATAAAGTGTTTCTTATATCAAAGAGCAAGTGCTTGAGACAGAGAGCGTTTAGAATTCTCAAAATTTGTAGTTTGAGAGAGCAGACACCAAAACTTGGAGAGCTGAGGGCATGGAAAGAAAGCGATAGAGATAAACAGATAGATACAGAGAGAGAGAGGGAGCGAGCAAAGGGAACCCCTAGATACATTTGGTGGCATCTGAGAGCTACAGACTTGATACCTCAGCTCTAAGTTATTATTCTCAAGGCCAATCTGGTACTGGAGCAGCCAGTATTATCATGACGGTAACGATGACTAAGGCAGGGATTTAGACAGGGAGTCCCAAGGACAGCCTCACTGTGAGCCCAGAGCAGTGCCGAGAAGGTGGGCGAAAGCTCCTGAGTCCCAGTGGGGGCTTAAAAGTGCTGACAGGACCAACAGGCTGGAGAAGGCCTATGGTTGTATGTGAGCAACAGACCTTAACGAGTACTAGGTTGAGAGAATTTCACATCTAAGTCCGTATAT